CCACAGGAGGATGGACTGGATAAAGAAAGAAGAGTGCATGAAGTCAGAGCGGTGGGATGGACATACCAGAAGACGATTATGTGAAGAGCGAAGGTTTTTGTTGCTGACAGCACATAAAAATTGAAAATAATGGGATAAGTAAGATGGGGTAGAAGGCAAGTTCAGGAGGGAGTACAAAGTAGTCAGTGCTCTTAGAGAGCGTCGTTGGCGTATAGGTAGCCACTGAAGTTGAGCACGGAAGGAAGATACATGGTCATCATTACGGAGATTGAAAACGAAACGAATGCAGTTATTTAGATGTCGGTCGAGTTTTTTAGCGAGTTAATGTCCAACTACTGGACGTAGTCCGACTCAGACATATAGAGCGTTATATTGCGTTTATATTCCACCGCTCGACTCATTTGCATATCGGCAGAGTTCACATTGATGACTCCGTGGCGCAGTCGCCAAGGTGTCGGCTCCGGCGCCGTGGGTCGTGGGTTCGATTCCCACACGGGACAACTATTTGTGTGACCCACAGATAGTTGTTCCGCATCTGGGTGTATGTTCGCGTGAAATTTATGTTTGTTAAAACGTCCTTACAACACAGGATAATGTTATCCCAAAAGTATTTTTTGGGATAACATTATCCCTATTTATCTAATGTTACAGAAAACACTCTTTGCAAATGACATTCTCACAATGAATTTTTTTTTTTACGAATATATGAAATATGAATATTGATATATATAATTATGATAATATGAATATTCGAAAACTAGGGCGATAACACCCTTTTGCTGTTGAAATTTACTTACTGGGCCGCGTAATTTATTTATTTAAAAACTCTTTGTACGATTTACACCATTAGGTGTTCTGTACCAGTCAACAAATAAATATAGGAAAATCCAGAATACGCAGACTCAGAATATTGACAGCGGCGAGTGACTGTTTTATCTATACGTTTTAATCATTGATGTTTTAATGAAGATGACGCATGTCCATACTGTGTGGCGTTGAAAAATTATCCGCTTTACACAATAAGACATGTGTGAATGAATGTGACGGATGATACAGAACGTATTATAAGGAAAGTGATGGCAGATTCAATTAACACCAATTGGTGTAATTTTAGCGTCCCAATTTCGGCGCGCTAGTATCATTGCTTTTAATTAAGCCTTATGGATAATCCTTAATTCTTATACGTTAATAATAAATGCTCAGACTGACATCTATGAGAAAAGCGGCAAGTGATAAATTATTAGAGTAACGAGACGAAATTATTAGTTGCACACGACTGTACCTAAACTAAAACGTTTTCCATTCCCACCACTATAAATCCCCGGTGCCTCTGATAACAAATCCTCGGTTTAACGAAGTCTTTTGTCTCGACCGTAGTTTTATCATTTCCACGATTCTTTTGGCAAACTTTTATCATACAGCGCCTGGGAGCAATTTGGGGATCACACTTTGAGAGTCGCCCCCTAAACTTACTTCTGCAAAACGATGAGTCCTAGCTACTTAAAATCTACTTTACGATGGAAAAAACTAAGTTAGTTTCATAGAGAGATAAAGCACGCTTGTACATACTTAACTCCAGACTACAATGTAGATTACACTAGGGGCGATATCTAGCTGCCGGTCATCTCCTAGTGATGTGTGTAGGGTCCAAATAAAACGTTTTTTTTTTATTCCGATTCACGCAGAAGAAATAAACAAAATAATTGACGGTAGCCGGGGTTAACTATGACATCAAGACGTATAACAACTTAGTCTGTCCCGTGACCATGCAGGCTGGAAAGGGTTCGAAACGTCGGGAGTTCAAATCAAAATAAGAAACGCGGTGAAATCCGTAAACTAGTTTCATTTAATATGCATAATATTCGCGTAAAATCAAGAAAACAATATACACAGTCTATTTCTAACATTTAAAATTTATCGATAGTTTGTTAGAACACCCCTATATCGTTCACGAGCGCTATCAACTTGAAGTAAGTTAAATAGACGTAACTTCGGACGAGAGCATCTATCAAAACGTTAATCTCACCTGAACTAAAGGGTTTCCATTAAAATTTCAATACACTAGTCGTATACCGCTCGGGCGATATAAAACTTCGGGTGTAAAGTGTCAAGTATATAAAGTCTACGAAAGCTATTCGCGTTTATCGTTTAACATCACTCCATTGTTGAAGGTCGATCACAAAAGCTTTTGTAATTTCTTAATTCTAAGGTTTTAAGTCCAAAATTTTTTTTTAATCTAATATTATAAAGTTTGTTTGTTTACGTTTTTTTATATTGTATTTATTTTTTACGAATAAATGTTGCATTATGGCTAAGAAACATAGGCTGTCAAAATAAAATATGTCAGTAATAAATGAAAATACTTTGAGATGAACTCGGTAATACTCGAATTAAAAACCCAATATATAGCATCTCAGTCTGTACTAACCACAGGTTACATGAACATTGACCACATTGGCTCCGTAATGAGTTCGATACGTTGGAAATTAAAAAACAAAGTAACCTGATAAAAGCTGAAAAATAATTAAACGTGAACTTATCATCTATATCGAATAAAATATGATCTATAATATGTTAATAAAAACAAAACAATTTAAGTATGCCGGACGTAAGTTAAACTCCGCCTAACAACGGCTATCTCAGCGTTGGTTATTACAGTTAAACTATTAATTAATTCCACTAACGAACCGACTAGCGAGTAGAGTTAACTGAATCTTGCGTTCAGTTAAGGCCCATTTACACGGTGCCAGTTTCTTGCCTGTTGTATACAATTAAATTGAAGCAATAAATAAGTTGCATGGTCTAAACAACAAATGGTCTAACCAATTTTTGCGCGCAATTTATTGCATTCAATTATTGCTCTTGCATGTACAAGAAAATGGCATCGTGTAAATGGGCCTTTACGGAAGATAAGACGGAGTTGCAGTTAGTTTCTCTATTTTCAATGCCAACATTCCCACTACACAGAGCTTGGTTTAAGCCAATTTCTATTTGGGTATTATCACATAGTATAAAACAAAGTCGTCCCGCTGTCTGTCTGTCCCTGTGTAGGCTTAGATCTCTAAAACTACGAGACGGATCTTGATGTGGTTTTTTTTACTAGATATAGTGATTCAAGAGGAAGGTCTATGACGGGCCGCTAGTTTTTACCATATGGACGCCGCCGGTCAAATATTTCTTCAAATAATTCGATTTTAATTTCTACACTAACCTAGTATTTGGCTGTGTGGTAGATAGTACATTTTTAATTAAATTTAAAAAATAAATTTAAAGTAAAATAAAAAGTAAATTTTTAATAAGACATGAATTGATTTTGAACTGGAAATAACCGATGTATCTTTAGTTTTGGACCAACCCTCGTAAATCGTAATAAGTATACGAGTATACATTTTAAGTATGAAAGTTTTAAGGATATAAAAGAAATGGTTATAATTTACGAACTAGCTTCATCATCAGATAATGTTAATCATTTGTTTTGACGGAGTCATTAAAATTTTCATATGTCGACGACTACGGTCCTTGAATATTAGTTCAGAACGCTCACATAAAAACTTCTCCACTAAACACTTCGCTTTTTAAACGACGTTATAAACCGCAAGTTTCATATAAAGTCATCCATAGGGTCTATAATTTAGAATTTGTTTATTTACGAGTATCATAAACCATATCGTAACGTTTCTGTAAAATGTTTCATATATAATTTTACCTTACTTAATTATTTGACAAATAGGGTCCATATGACAGCGTCGCTATCTCTCCTTCACTAAGATCAGAAGATATAGGTAAGAATATAAATTTATTGAACTATTATTGTAATATTATAAATTATTGGCTGATTTACACCTAGACGTGTAAACTTAGATATATAGGAAATCGTTTTGTTATTGTGATCGTCACAATAGCTGCAATGTAATGTTGAAATATGGTAATGAAAAAGACGTCTGCACAAAACAACAAAGCTTATTCAACGAAGTCATGAAACATTCAATCTTATATCGACAATAATCCAAGTACGGGTAAATGGAATGAATAGTGTTTTCTGTCATATATCAACATGTGAATGCAGTTCGCTCATATAGAAACGAAAGGATGAAGTAGGCGTGTAACTGTAATGTATTGTTTTTTTTACGTTCGAACATAATACAACATCTCTACATATTATTTCTCATCTATAATTTTTATCATTACGCCATAATTTTTATGATTTTTAATAAAATTTAATGATTAAAGCACCACGTTAAAGCATATTTTTGCCACCAATGAGAAAAAACATTAGATTAGATAGAATAAAAAAGATAGAAAATTAGAAACGTATGATAGTGACATCTATTGTCAATCAACGAAAATTAGACAGTATGATAATGCCATCTATTGAAAATTTATTTAAATGATACATAACGAAATTGACTAAGAACCAACCTTGAAAATTTAGCTATATAAAATATAATAATAATAATAGAAATTGTTTCCTTTATATATAGAAAATGTTGAAAAATGGGCTCCGGCTACCTCACTCACCAGGCGAAACGCGAAAGTATTTGTCATACTTCCACTTCACGCTGGTCTTCTGTGAGGTCGAGGTACTTCGTCGGACGGGCCTGCCCATTCGTGCAACAACAGACTGTTGCGTGGTCCACATAGTAAAAATTGCGCGCCCACCATACACATGATAGATACAAAACCGAAACGTGGCATACCGAAACGTGGCATGCCTAAACTGTGTATTAGATATACAATGTTAAGCTCTCTTTCCCTTCTCTACGTAAATCTTTCTCCTCTCTCATGTAACGAAATATACTCAACGTGACGCGCCCTTGAAATATCACTCGATTTTCGTCGTATTATCGAATCGCCGCTTAAAGTTTCACATCAAAATTTAAATCAAATGTTTCACAAAAACACAAATGAAACAAAATCAATCCGTATGGATACAACTTATTTTATTAAAGAAACACATTTAGTTATACAGAGGTGTTAAAAGGTAGGCACAGGCCAGACTAGACTGGTTTGTAGTCCAGTTTGCTCTCCAACTTCTTGTTGTCGGCAACCTTGCGCACCGCCTTCATCAGATCCTCCTGCGACATGGAATTGGACACGTCTATCATTACCCACGACATCCTTACTTATATTATAAACGGGAAAGTTGTAGGTATGGATGTTTGTTACTCTTTCACTCAAATACTACTTACTGAATGGATTTTAATGAAACTTTACAGTAATATAGCTTATACATCAGAATAAGACATAAGCTATAATTTATACACATAATTTTATGTACATCTGTCTTTCTGTCTGAACGCCTTCAGCCTATTCTGCGCACGTAGTCGCGGGCAGCAACTTTGAAACAAACTCATTTTATGACTCCGTAGGGCAGTGACAATGGAGCCGGGGGTCGTGGGTTCGGATCCCACACGGGACAGCTATTTGTGTGACCCACACGTCACAGCTCAAAATCAAAATCATTTATTCATCGACATAAGAAACTTACATTTCATTTATCAATAGTCATATTTTTTTTTTAAATCTACCACCGTTTCGTAATGAGGTTCCTCTAGCGGAGAAGAAACAGGCGAAAGAAACTCCGTAGGTATCCTCTTTTTTGTAATTATTTTTTTTTTTTTATAATTTATTTCTTTAAAGTACAACCGCATCATATGTGTTGGACATTTACATAGCTCATTTGATTCTAAAACTTTATTGCTGATATATGATATAAGAAAATGACGGTGTACATAGCATTGACCACGTATGAAATAACAAAGTGGGTGTTTTAGTGATACAAGTATAAGTTAAAAACATTATAAATAAAATTAATGACTAATATATAGTTTTGTTAGCGGCTCTTTAAATCTATTCAGACTGCAATGGAAATTATCCATATCAGCTATTTGCTTAACTAAGTAGTTGTATTCTCTAATTAATCTAACTTGAGGAATTGGATTGCAGGCCAATAGGCCAATCACCCGTCCATCCAGGGCCAGATTTAGAGGTCTTGAGGCCTCGGGGCAACAAACTAGTGGTGGCCCCTTGCCCCAAACTATCTTCTATTGATCTCTATTAATATTTAATTTAATCATGTTTGCACACAGTACTAAAGATAAAAGTAAAAGGCCAAAAAGATTATGAAAGTTGTTTACTAATATTTACTAGTCTGAATTTGAAGTTTTTTTTTCCAAAGCATCTATTGTGGTATAAGGTAAGTGTACGGAAAAAGAAAATATGAAAGCTAAACTTGTTTACTAGTATTTACTAGTCTGAATTTGAAGATTTTCTTTTCCAAAGCATCTATTGTGGTATAAGATAAGTGTACGGAAAAAGAAAATATGAAAGCTAAAGTTGTTTACTAGTATTTACTAGTCTGAATTTGAAGATTTTCTTTTCCAAAGCATCTATTGTGCTATAAGATAAGTATACAGAAAAAGAAAATATGAAAGCTAAAGTTGTTTACTAATATTTACTAGTCTGAATTTGAAGTTTTTCTTTCCAAAGCATCTATTGTGGTATAAGGTAAGTGTATGGAAAAAGAAAATATGAAAGCTAAAGTTGTTTACTACTATTTACTAGTCTGAATTTGAAGTTTTTTTTTCCAAAGCATCTATTGTGGTATAAAATAAGTATACAGAAAAAGAAAATATGAAAGCTAAAGTTGTTTACTAATATTTACTAGTCTGAATTTGAAGTTTTTCTTTCCAAAGCATCTATTGTGGTATAAGGTAAGTGTACGGAAAAAGAAAATATGAAAGCTAAAGTTGTTTACTAATATTTACTAGTCTGAATTTGAAGTTTTTCTTTCCAAAGCATCTATTGTGGTATAAGATAAGTGTACGGAAAAAGAAAATATGAAAGCTAAAGTTGTTTACTAACATTTACTAGTCTGAATTTGAAGTTTTTTTTTCCAAAGCATCTATTGTGGTATAAGGTAAGTGTACGGAAAAAGAAAATATGAAAGCTAAAGTTGTTTACTAATATTTACTAGTCTGTTTGTCTATTTGTCTATTTGTCTTTACGGTGGTAGGGCCACGCAGCAGCCTCGGCTGTTGCACGAATGGGCAGGCCCGTCCGGGTAAGTACCACGACCTCACAGAAGACCAGGGTAAAGTGACAGTATGACAAATACTTTCGCGTTTCGTCTGGTGAGTGAGGTAGCCGGAGCCCAATTTTCAAAAGGTTGTCAACGCATCTGTAACCCTCGGGTGTGGCAGATGTCCATGGGCGGATGTATTTACTTAACATCAGGTAAACCGTCTGCTCGTTTGACAACTTTTAGCGTAAAAAAAAAAAGTCTGAATTTGAAGTTTCTTTTCCCCTCCCCCAAATCCGGCCCTGCGTCCGTCGCAACGGCACGGAGGCCCCACCGACCTGCACTATGTACTCCCTCTCCGCCCTGATGGCGAACAGGCCCGCCTCGGTGCAAACGTTCCTCAGGTCGGCGCCGTTGAACGCGTCCGAGAGCTTCACCACCGCCTCGTAGTCCATCTCGCCGTGCTTCGCTATCGGCGCCGCGTGGATCTTCAGGATCTCCAGCCTGGGCGCAGTGAGAGTGGCGGATGGAGACAGACGCAGTGATGAATGCAGAAATAGAAACAGACACGAGGACGCAAACGGCGACGGCGATGGAAACGTAACGGTGATAGGGGACAGCGTACAGAAGTGTGAACAGAAATAGAAATAGAAACTGAACATAAAAATATCGCCGGAAATATAAATATCAAGGGGAATAAGGATAGAACAATAGTAGGGCCGGAAATAAAAAAGCTATATTGTCACTTTTGACAACTGACAAGTTGATTCAAAAAGGAAAACTAGAATACAGACAAAGTTGATGGGGGGTTGGGTCCGAACCTTCTCCAGATCTGTGCTACATCACTCAGTTATTCACAATTGAGGATTCCCTTTCCTCCCGCTAAGTTAACCAACCTAGCTTGACCCGCGCTCATCACGCCTCTCTTTGGGCGGAGGGATCAAGTTTTTCCCGCCTACAGAACCAGCCTAGCTTGACCTTCGCTCACCTCGCCCGCTCTTTGGGCGGAGGGATCGAGTTTTTCCCGCCGACAGAACCAGCCTAGCTTGACCCACGCTCACCTCGCCTGCTCGTTGGGCGAAGGGATCAAGTTTTTCCCGCCTACAGAACCAGCCTAGCTCGACCCGCGCTCACCTCGCCTGCTCATTCGGGAGGGGGATCTCGATCTTGCGGTCGAGGCGTCCCGGCCGCAGCAGCGCCGGGTCCAGCGTGTCCGGCCGGTTGGTCGCCATGATGATCTTCACCTGCCCCAGGGAGTCGAACCCGTCCATCTGGTTGAGCAGCTCCATCAGGGTGCGCTGGATCTCGCGATCGGCGCTGGTGCCCTCGGAGAACCTCCTGCCGCCTGGAACGAAGAAGGCAACATTGTATTATTTATTGTAGGGGGCGATTTAAGAAACCGTTCAAGTGCGAGTCGGACTCACGCACTACATCCGTACCGTTATCTATAAAAACAGCAAAAAAAAATCATGTCGGTTGTAAGTATAAGTGGGGCACTTAAACATTTTTTTTATTCTTGTTTAGTATTTTTTTTTCTTATAGTGGCATCAGAAATACATCATTGTGAAAATTTCACGATACATGAGATACAACCTGGTGACAGACAGACAGACAGACTTCGGAGTGTTAGTAATAGGGTCCAGTTTTACCCTTTGGCTAAGGAATCATAAAAATATCAATTTTTGAGATTTGTGCACTTCTGAACATACGTAGTGATTTTTTTTAAACATTGCCCTTACTTTGATTGGATGGGGAGTATGTATGGAGTTATGTTGCTTTCTACGCCAAAATCGGCCCGAGAAAGCTATAAGAGCAATAAGAGTCGAAAAAGCTAGGCGTTTTAGGGCGTTTCCTGACAAAGTCAAAATCATCAGGGTTTCTTAATTAGATCCCTTTAAATTCCCAACATATCGGCTAGTATGTCCCAATAGCTGTGGTAGGGCCGGGCCACGCTGTACTTCTGCGTTTCGTCTGGTGAGTGAGGTTGTCGGGGCTCACTTTACGGAAAGGTGACTACGCATCTGCAACACTACGGGTGTTGTAAATGTCTGCGGTTATCGCTTAACATCGGATGAACCGCCAGCTCGCATGCGCACCCCTTCTCACATAAATAGAAATATTTGAAAATAAATTTCATTTTGTTCGTTCAGTAGCTTCTGATGAGCTTTAGTTAACTATTAAAATAATTCAAACACCGCTGTGGTCGAATATCGACAGCAGTGCAGATAAAGAAACGTAACGTGTGTGCTAACCGATGGCGTCGATCTCGTCCATGAATATGATGCAGGGTTGGTGGTCTCGTGCGTAGTTGAACATCTCGCGGATGAGACGAGCAGACTCCCCAATGTACTTGTCCACTATGGCCGATGACACCACCTGTGGTCGATGAACTCATTACAATGTTGCCCACACAAAATAAGCTCACCCCACTAGCTAACACAGTTGGGTGACGAAAGCCTAAACAGACCCTTACGATCTGAGTAAGTAAAGAAGGCACATTAATAAAATTATATACAGCGTGTCGCTACCACCGCGACAATAAATTAACACACGTCTAACGCTACTTCCCAATAGTCATAAAAAACATTAACGTTAAAAAAATCCATAATTAAAAAAAATATTTTTTTCAAACAAACTAATTAACTAGTAAAAACGAAACAAAATTTGTAACATCCTATACAACTACATCTGAATGATTCATATCTTCAGAGACTTTTTCATTCGTTGCCACAGTGTCGCATTAGTAGCCTCTCCTTCTAATAGTATGCTTTGTCTCCTTTAAATTCATTCAACCCATTCATATGCTTTGTGACCTTTACAAATGAATTTTACGTTACAGTTTTATACGTAAGGCTGTTCTAAAATTGTTTGTTTTGGAAAATTTAATAACTCAGTAAATATTGATGTTTAAAAAATGTAATTTTTTAATACAATTTTAAAAAGTTATTCTATATGTGTATTAATTTATTGTCGCGATTGTAAAGACACGCTGTATAGCTTATAGAGGTCAAATCCTCAACTTAAATTTTAGTACATTGTGTGTAATCGACATAAAGTTTGAAAGAACTAACTTACTTTTTTTTTACTTTACCATAAAAGTTTATGGTATGAGCCGTGTTAGCTCAGTGTTAGTTTTTATTTCAATGTGCACCAATAAAATTGTTAATATTAAGTACTGTCTGATCCGAACATTGAAGGAAAACATTGCGAGAAAACCTGCAAATTTTTGAAATAATAACCAAAAATCCTTACTAATATTATAAACGCTTTGTATGTATGCGTTTGTATGTATGGATGGATGTTTGTTACTCTTTCACGCAAAAACTACAAAATAGATTTTAATGAAACTTTACAATAACATAGCTTATACATCAGATTAACACAGGCTATAATTTATAAAGGTATTGTGTTAATTTTCCAAATTATAGGTAATGATAAGTGTCAACTAAGTAGGAAAAAATTCAGCTATCTGCAAGATATTCTGGTGTAAAATAAAAAAGTCATTGTTAATTCCATGGCCGCGCGGGCGAAGCCGCGGTCAACAGCTAGTATATACTTCCCTAATACATTGTACGGAGGCCTTTGTCCAGCTGTGGATCATAATAATATAGAATGCCGTACATGGTACTTCCAGCAGGTACTTCTTCGGAAAGACCTGCCCTTTTGAGCGACAGCGAAGACTGTTGCGTGGCTGTAATCTGTCATTCCAAAGGTCCCAATGGTCGAGTGGCTCTAGCGGGGTCCAACACATCCAAAGACTGATGATGGTCAAGGATTATCACCTTGAGGAAGTTGGCGTCCAGCTGCGAGGCAACGGCACGTGCCAGCAGGGTCTTCCCGGTTCCAGGGGGCCCGTACAGCAGACAGCCCTTGGGCGGAGTGATGCCCACGCGCACGAACAGCTCGGGGTTCATCAGCGGCAGCTCGATCACCTGCGCATCATCACATTTAGTACCGACATTCAGCAGTAAACGGAGAGAAGGGGCCGCAATGTGGTCACAAAATCTACCACTCTCTAGAAAGGGATGCAGTGACTAGTTGTCTGATGCAGTTGTTTCTCATCCGCAGTGTCCTCACTGAAGAAACAACACTCTAGAAATAGAAAAGGTGACTAGTTGTTTAATGTTTGTCTATCAATCATTGTTGTTGATAAGATTTGAAAAAAAAAAAGTAAAGTAACAGCCTATACATGTCCCACTGCTAGGCAAAGGCCTCCTCTATACAGAGGGTATCAGGGCATAGTCCACCACGCGGCCTCACTGCGGATTGGCGGACTTCACATATATTCGAAATATATTTTTTTTGTTATTATTTCGAAAATATGCAGGTTTCCTCACGATGTTTTCCTTCACCGCGGAGCACGTGATAAGTCAGCACTTAAAGTTAAAAACTTCATTGGTGCCGGCACCGGGGATCGGACTCAGGTTGCTCGAGTATACTGAATTAAAGGCGAGCGCCCGGACACTGAGCTATCACGGCTCTTGAAAGATTGCGTTTTAATTGAGCTTTAATTTTTGCCATGTTAATAACAAATTCACACTCCCCAATGTTTTAGGTACTGCATGGGTATACAGCATTCATTGTCACAGGACAATTTTTCCAATACAGTCAATTAATAATTTCATTTTTATTAATCACATTATTTTCATTATTTTAGGTACACTGTTATTTGTCATGATTAAAGGCGAATCACACTGTTTCATCAAACAAAATGACTAAAATCCAAGAATAACCCTAACCAGTATAACATGAACTCCAAGATGACTGACAAGCCTATAGATACTTAGGCTTTCTAGACCCTGATTCCAACAAAGCTTTACATAGTCCTTATGACTGAAAGCAAAATCATAGCCAAACAATGTCTAAGACAAAGATCATAAACATTATTGCGATAGAGAAACATCAGGCTTACATAACAATTCCCATCCCATTTAAATCTGAATTCATAACAATTCCCGCTACACTTTCATGAATCACACTTTCATGTACACAAAGTTATTTAAGTATAAAATCAACGGCAGCCAGGGGACTTGCAAATGTGGAGCAAGTTATTTTCACACAGCCTTGACTTGATGATGCTTTATTGCTAGAAGCAACACAATCAGTGTGACAAAAGTGTCTATACTGTTGTGTACGCATAGTGAATGAGACAGCCTGAGAACAACACTTTCAGTGGTTAACAACTTAAGTGTGGTGCGCATCAGCATTAGGTAAAAAAACAAGTACTCACTTCTCTCAGCTGCCTGATCTGTTCTTGAAGACCACCGATAGCTGAATAAGTGACATCGCCTGGATCCTCATGACTCATATTGTACACCAGGGGGTCCACCTGCAATTATCCAACCACAATATATTTACAAATTGCTTGTTATAAATAATATTATGGATATATAACTCGAGTTATTGTTTCTTAGGCATATGAGCAATTCATATTATCTTTATTAGTACCTAATTTATAATTTGGTATACAACATTTCACGGGTTATGAGTATAGTAAGAGTATGTTTGAGCCAAAACACATGAATACTATCAACTCTTAAAAATAACCCTAAAACCAGATAATCCTGACCCCAGAGTTCTTCAAGTTGTATCTCTGCTGTTAGCAGTTTTTTTTTTTAATATGTGTTTATTACATATAATAATTTTTATATACAATAAATGTAAGCCTTAAATTAAGACACATATGCAAACTTATTTGTGTATATAAGAGCGTAATTCACCATGTGATCCCATTGCAGATTGGCGGACTTCACATTTCCTTTAAATGTTTTTTTTGTTATTCAAAAATAGTACTTGGTACTCCTCACAATGTTTTCCTCAACCTCACTTATCAGCATGTGGTAAATGAGTATTTAAAGTTGGAATTAAAAATTTCATTGATAGTGGCACAAGGATTTGAACTCTGGTTGCTAGAGTATAATAAATTGTGAGATTGGACATTGAGCTATCACAATCATCAATAATTTTGAATATTTTTGGGCTCTAGTGTGGTCAATAATTTGACAGTGAAAGCAAAAACATCTTCACACATCAATATGTGCTGGTTTGTTTAAAGAGTATTGAAATAAACCAGCCCCAAACAATACTTTTGAAGGCAATCTCTTTGTAGTAGGAAAGTAATTGTTATCACATCAACGCTAAAACAACCTCACCTCTCTGGGCAAGTGACGCATGATTGTGAGTGTTGTCATATCCAGTGCAACTCTTGTGCCACCCTTCAGCTTATTTTTGTCCAGTTGACGCCTACATCCAACTACATAACGTGGGCCATTTGTTGCTTTCACAATAACTGGAAAAGAAATTTTATAATAATTATTAAAGACATAAGTCTCTTAGTAACCTGAAGTGGCAATGGGTAGGCCATATGGAGAAGAATTGATAACCCAAGGGAAAGAAAGGTTCTCTGGTGGCAGCCTCTTATCGGCCATCATAATGTAGGACATTCCTCCACTAGATGGAGTGAAGGATGAAGGAGGCTCATTGTGTTTAGTGGTATTCCATGGGAAAGCCTATGTTCAGCAGTGAATTCAGACAGGCCGAAATGATGATAATGTATAATAAACATTTCAGGACATAATTATACACAATTTTATCTTACCTAACTAAGCAATGCATTGACTATGGGTTACTTAGTAACTGATAAAAATACAAAAACATAATTTTCCTTGGAAAATAAATATATATTATAGATAAGATACAAGCACCAAGACAATAAACCTTCACACAATAATCATCATACATTTATGGAACAAACCACACCCTCTGGTTCAAAAGACAGATTTACTATCCACAATGCCAATCGAGTTTTCAATTACAAAATAGTTGTTGAAATGACTTCAACATAACTTATGCACATATAAAATAAACCACATAATTTATACAATTATGGATAACTTAGGCACAAGAAGTTACAGGTGCATTGCAAATTCACCATGGCAAATGGACTTAAATTCTGAAATTCTGTTATTAAAAAAAATTATTACTAAATTTTAAGGGTTAATGTAGAAATCGTCCAGTATTGAATAATTAGTGTTTGTCAAGTGTTTTAAAGTACTACATTAATTATACTCACATTTCTCTTCTGTTAACTGTTTCAACACTTCACCAACAATCTGTCCAACACTCTGCAGAGCTTTCAAGTCGTTTTCACTCTTATCATACTGTTTGGTGAGATCTTTGAGTTGTTCTCGCACTGAAATTATTTTTGAATATCATAAAATATAATAACAAACCGTTTCGTCTTCACATAGGGCATGAAAGTACAAACTTTTGCTACAAGTGAAATAAAGACATGTATTTCATTTTATTTTATACTTAAAATGATTATACAATAATCTTCATGAAATTTAAAATGCTTAGATTTATTATAAATATTATAAATAGAAAATAGGTACAAAAATTAATGAAATAACAAATCGAAAAAACAATGAATCGGCATGTATCATTGTAATGTTACGTACTGTCTTTCAGTCTTGATTCGACTTCTTTATGCTCCATCAATTTCTTCCTGTAATCTTGAAAGGCCTTTTCTCTCAATGGATCCATTGCTGATGATCCAGCAGGCATTTTTAAAAATATTGAAATGAAATGCCTACGGAATGATAATCAAAAATCGTTTGACATTAGATTGTCACTTGTCAGGAAGGAACTGAAATCTCATTACGTCCATTTTTATGTTACATAAAGGCAAGAGCGGTAAACTTTATGCCAAAATTAAAGTTTTAACAATAGATTACTTTACTATTTCTAATGGTATTTATATTTCAGCACAAGTTTTAATTATTTTAAGACAAGTTTAAAGAATTCAAAAATATTCAGAGGTTATTTTTAATCATTACAAAAAACTTTAATAAATTGCTATTAAATTCATTCTCATAGATATTAGTGTATTTGCTAAAGAATACTGAAATATTATGGATCGTTAACTCAGAAACAATAACGCTTGAATAAAGTCGGAAGATTATGTTCAAATCTTCTTCCTGTTCATCGGAATAAATAATATGCCTCAAATGCAATTTAACATCGACTAACATGGAGTTCATAAACAGTGGAGTCTTCCATAGTAATCGAATTCTTTTGAGTTGCAAAGCCTATGTATGAACTTGATACTCAACCAAAATCCAATAAGAAAAACGAAGGAAAAGCTTTACGTTGGCTGGCTTCGATCAATTAGGAGCTGATATGGCAATATCAGCAAGGATAAGGTTTATTATAGGAATTTAATTAAAATACTACACCAAACTTTTCATCTATACAATAGGTAATAAAATATACTTGTTTCTTTAAGGTATACTTTGGACTGGCAACGAATATTTGTTATTTTTTAAGTGACTAGGCAGTTTATCTGGTGTTAAGTGATTACCGCCGACAATCGGTTCAGGCAGACTTATTATCTCATATACTATACTCATTAAGTATTGAAATAAAATACCTTTTAGACATAACTTCGTAATATATAAAACTTGCAAATCATATTGTCCTACACTTTCCTGTCTTTTGCACAATTTTTGTATCCTCAAACTCTCGCCAGCCATTGGACGGATTTCATGTTAGACATGTGGTGTCAGTAGACTCAAAGACTACTATTGTATACTGGAAATAGACAGGCAACTCGTTTTTTTGCTGTCAAACATGCGCCTCCTGGTATTCAAATGCGGAACTAAATTTAATAAATATAGCTATAGCTACATATAGCTATAGCTATAGCTACATATAGGAAAGTAGTTACTAGGTATTAAAAATTTTAATAAGTTCGATTTACCACAAAAATTGGACGTATTACACGTCCAATTTTTGTGGTAAATCAATATATGTAATAATTTTAAACTGAATTAATTTATTTACAAGTTCCCATAACAATTAAAAATCTGTGACATTTATTTATATTTGACTTTAATACTGAAGTACCTGATACAAAAATAAATGAATAAATAAAAGATGTTGAATCATTTTAAGCAGTTTATTTCAATAATTAATTAAGACATAATTCAGTTACATGTCTGTCTTAATTTACAAACCTAGATTCCTATCATTTCTCAACAAACCATAAGTTTTTATTATATTTTGAAGTTTCAATTAACTAAACTTTTATCAATATTTCTTTTTATCTTTTTCTTTTCCTCTCTTTATTTTTCAAAAAATGATTCTGGGCTGAATTTTTCATATTATCATTTAAGGCAATCTTTCCAGTGAGAACATAATTGACATCTTTACACAATTTGTGAAAAAGATTTTGTACTTTTGTTTAGTAAATAATTAAGCAGCCTTTCTTTATGATGTGAGCAAGACAGAAAATTTAAATCTTAATTAGTGTTTATTATCAATTTAATATACTGTGATGTAATTTCTCAAAAGAGTTCTCCAATGCATCCTAATTGAAGTTTTACAACAATAAATAACTTATGTCCTTGGAATTTAAATATTTCAATATTACTCGGAAACCTATAGTAATTTATTCCATAAATGGTGATGTGGCGTGGCAGTTAATGCTGCTCTATTAAGTTTTCCTTTTTGAACTTCACTGAAGCTGCCATTTACACTATCACACAGGTCATCAAATAAAACTGACAAGTTATGGTTTCAATGCTCTCCTTAGGTGATTTTCCACATTCTGTAATGAAAAGAAATATAATTTAATTATTTTTTTATCAATAATACAATAATAACATTCAGGGACATTCTTTACACATGGTCATCTGATACCAAACTGAGCAGAGCTTTTACTAATGGTAAGCTGATTACTGAAATACATGATTAAGTATAACATATACTGTTATAATACATTCATGTATATATTTACAACCAATTCAGAAAAAGTAAACATTTTCAAGCACACAAATGTTTGTCCTGGGTGGGAATCTAAGTGACAAACAGCGGTGTAGTAGTCTGGGTCCCGTAAACCAACATGCCCGTCAATTATAATATTGTTTACTCAATCACACTACAACAGTATTATACCGTACATGAGATTCATTCAATTTGTAACATTAACATACAAGTTTGCATACCTGCTACGAATCCAAGCGCCACACCACGACTTACTCAAGACTCAAGACTTGCGGCGTGCTGTGTTTCACTTCACTCTCAGAAAATTAACGAACGGTATCACAAATTATAATAAAATTGTGCAGTGTGCACGATTCGAAATATCAAAAAAATAACAGTGAACAACAATAATTGTCATTAATTTTTCAAATGATGCTGCCATATCAAACAGAGCAACCACCCCGCATTTAAAACGTTTTATTAACAAAAGTTGCCTAAATTTGCTTTAAAATAAGAAATAAAGTAGATGAAAATAAATATTTATTTAAATATCTCTTTTTTTTGTTCTTTGTATCTCAAAAAACATTATTTAAATTAATATATAATTTAATGTGTAAAATCTCCATAGGATTTATTACTATATTTTATAGTGGCAGCACTATGTATTTTAGTACTTCATTTGTCTTCCAGATGGCGATGTTCCGAAATTTTCTTGAAGTAGTTCTAAGTTGCCATAGCATGAGTAGACTCTTCTGCTGCAGCAGACTTAGGATATATTATTTTCGCAGAAAGATAAAGGGAAGAGTAGTTAATATTTTTAATTAGTCAATCCTGTATTGCAGAGGCGTTTCAAACCACAAATTAATTAAGGACTCACACCTAGATCCAGAACAATTATTATCTGTGAGTCGTGCAAATACTTGCTCTGGGTAGGAATCAAACTTAAAAAAATTCAGGTAGTGCAAAATAAATTCATCCGCATTAAAACCGGTGTAAGGTGATGTCAAACAAACTTCGACTGGCATAGAGATTCGGTCCGAAAATCAGCCTAATCCTCTAACGGTAATTAATATCTATCTCTACAATAAAACACACTTTAGTTCATCTTCTACAATCACTCCCACCCAGGAAATAACACTGACGACAGCTGCTGACAATAATAAATCAAAAGTAAAAGAATTTACAAATTTATTATTGTATAACATCATATCACAAATGCAAGACACTACAATGGTTAACAATCAAGACTTAAGTACCAAACAAATTAAATAACATTTATACAAATTAATTTCACAATATTAATATTTGTTACATCCACACATAATTATTTTTGTTGACTAAACTGTAACAGTTAATTACATAAATTAACAAGCCAGCGAGTTGCTTATACATCTATCTTTATATATATATAATTCTTTTGTATGTGTGTATGTTACTGAACTCCTCCTAAACTGCTGGACCAATTTTAATGAAATTTTGTGTGCGTCTTCAGGCCAATTCAAGAATGGTTTAGATTATCAATTCGGTCCAATTTTTTAAATTTTTTTTATTTATAAGTTGTTTTCGGATTTTGGAAGCAATCATAATCATTACTTATTTTTGGTTAGTCTATAAATAAAAATGAATCGCTGAATGTGTTGCTAACCGCAAATCTCGAGAACAGCCGAACCGATTTCGCTAATTCTTTTTTTATCATATTCCTTGAAGTACAAGGATGGGATGGTTTTGATTAAAAGGCCTGAAAAAGTCTAAAAACAACACTTTTCTATATTCCCATACAAAAGATTCATAGTAATACTTAAAAGTCAATTTGAACTTTAATACCATACTATAAAGTTTAAGTGTTAGTGTAGGGGTTCCGGGAAGGCAAAACAATTGAGTGAGTCTAGTATAGTATCGTATAAATATTAATATCACTTAGTATTGTATAATATTTATGCCACATGTCACTTGAAATGTCAACGACTTTTTGCTGTGCATCACTACCTAGTATAAAACAAAGTCGTCCTGCTGTCTGTCTATCCCTATACATGCTTAGATTTTTAAAACTACGCAACGGATCTTGATGGATGGATAGGATCTTGATGTTTAGACAGTGTGATTCAAGAGGAAAGTTTATATGAATTGTTGCCGCACTATCCTACTAATTTGAATATTCCCGCATTAAGATGTCAATTACATTGACAAATCATACTTCCATTAAATCCTTCACTCATTCGTTCGCAACCGGGCACTGTCGCCGTTCAAATCGTACGCTCGATGGACAATTATATAGTAAAATCGCTCGCGTTTAACACCTCATCAACGCTTCTTCTACTTTAAATTATCAACTTTATAAATCACGGCTGTGAATGTGTAAATCTGTGTAACTGTGCATGACTTATAATCCGAGTGCCTCGCTGACACAAGCCGATAGAAGATTCGTCGCTGGAAGCCTCTAGGTGAGTGCGTGCTCCATGATTCGTCTGCCGGTTGCAAATTAAATCCTAACTAATCCAGCATATACAGTCCACTTTTATTGAAATAAACCTAACTCCGCACCATGTATAATACATTGCATCCGTGCAAAGCTGGGGCGGGTCGCTAGTATTACATAAAAATATATTTCAATTCAATCAAAGCACATGCCATACAATTAAGAATGCCCTAAAATATGTCACCTGACTTTTTGGTTACTATTAGCAGACTACACTTTTTAGTGCTATTGATCTTTTCACAATATTTACACCACCGCCTCGCTACAAACACCATAGGCGATTCACCACACTGAACACACGCACCATAGGCGATTCACCTCACTAAGCACACACCACAGGCGTTCAGCAGCGTTCACTTGATGAAACTGGGCAGCGTGCCGTTCTTCCTCGCCTTCGCCACGTTCTCGTAGTAGCAGCCGAAGTCGACGTAGCCCCTTATCCTGCGCTGCCTGTCCGGCGCGGGCGCCTCGGCCGCGTCCGGCGAGGCGGAGCGCTCCGAGCCGCTGGGCCAGGGCGCTCCGCCCCCCTCCAGCGTGTCGCACTTGGACTGCACCACCGGGTTGAAGCGGACACCGCAGCGCTCCGGCCGCGGCGCTTCGCCCCCGAAGTTGAGGTTCCTTATCAGCAGCGTCACGTGCGTGTTCGCCTTCGGTGTGAGGTTGTTCCGCGCGCAGTGGGCCACGAACTCGCTCTCGATCTCCTCCAGAGCGCAGCGGCTCACTTGGGCGAAGTCCGGCTGGCGGCGGAAGCACTCGACCACGATCTGGGCGAGCTGCTTGTTGGTCTGCTCGCTGCCGCCCCTCATCTCCTGGATGCGCTTGTGGACGCCGGCGCTGACTAGCACCAGGAACCTGGCACGGTGTCAATAAATAAATAAATAGTTCGGGACACATTTTTACAGAGCTTTATCTAGTCCCAAACTAAGAAAAGCTGGTACTATGGTTACTAGTTAACTGATATATATTTCTTTTGCAAATAGAAACATATAAAATGTTGTATAAACACCCAGACACTGGAAGAACACTATGTTGTTCACACAATTTTCCAGTTGAGAGGATCGAACCCACACCCTCTGGCGCAAGAGTGTGTGGGTTCGGCGTAGTGGGCGCAGGTTCACTTCCCACTATGCCAATCGGGTCGTCAAATCGCTATGATTGGACCAGTTCTCCACCAATGGTCTGCTTAATGTCTATGCGTAATTTATGATATTTTGGATTTGGGTGTTTGTCCACTTGAAATTTATGTATACAAAACATCCTTACAAAACAGAATAATTTTATCGTAGGGTAAGGCAAGGGAGCAATATTTTCGAAAGGAAGACCAAAAGATCTTTCTGTGTTGCACCGTTACTACCCTACTACACACAAAATATTATTTTTACCCGACTGCGCCAGAAAGAGGGTTTTGTTTTTGGTGAGTATGTATGTATAATTTTTTGGCACGCTCTGCAGCCTGATGGGCTTGATGGATTTTAGCTTGAGAGGTGTTTTAGATTCGTATTTACTGTGAGAGTGACACTGGGCATATCAAAATAAAAATTTAACAGCCTAAGAAATGGTTTTTTTAGTTTTTTTTTATTACATTTTACTTGTTTTGCCGATTACATTATGACTATGTGTTTCATTTTTTTAATGACTCACCTGCATGACTCGTCCAGGGCGATGGGACCGTGGATCTCAGGAGCAGCCACTACTGGCTCCGCGGTGGCTGTGCCGATATTTGGGAACGCCTTGTACAGACCCTTCACCAGGTAGTTGCCCAGGCACCTGGTACCGGACTGGTTTCCCAAGTACTGAGCTGTTGAAGAAGCATCATATACAGCGTGTCGTTACCATCGCGACAATAAATGAACACACATATAGGGGATAACTTTTTAAAGTTGTACTAAAATTTAAATTCTTTAAACATATTTACAATATATTTACAATATTTAAAGAGTTATTAAATTTTGCAAAACAAACAATTTTAGAACACCCTTACCTATAAAAACGTAACGTAAAGTTCATTTGTAAAAGTCACAAAGCATATGAATGGTTTGAATGAATTTAAAAGAGACAAAACATACTGTTAGAAGGAGAGGCTTGTAATACGACTGTACGATGTTTACAAATTTTGTTTCTTTTTTACTTAATTAGTTTGTTTGAAAAAAAAAATTTTGTATTATGGATTTTGTTTAACGTTAATATTTTTTTATATATTTTGTTATATTTGTTATGTATGTACATAAATTGTATTTCATTAAGTTTATAAAGCACTAGGGTCCCGCCCCGGCTTTGCATCGGTGCAATGTATACATATTAAAAATCTTCCTCTTGAATCACTTTATCTAGTAAAAAAATCGCATCAAGATCCTTTGCGTAATTTTAAAGATCTAATCATATATAACGACAGACAGACAGCGGCGTGAATTTGTTTAATACTATGCATATACTACGTGATAGAGTTCGTAACGAAGACATCCGCAGTAGAACCAAGGTAACCGACATAGCTCAGAGGATTAGCAAGCTGAAGTGGCGATGAGCCGGCCATATAGCTCGTAGAACCGATAACCGTTGGGGAAGAAAGGTTCTCGAGTGGCAGCCTCGTACTGGCCATCGCAGTGTGGGACGACCCCCCACTAGATGGAGTGACGACCTGTGCAAATGTGCGGGAAGTCGATGGATGCAGGTGGCTCAGGATCGTACTTCGTGGCAGTCTGTGGGGGAGGCCTATGTTCAGCAGTGGACTCAAACAGGCTGAAATGATGATGATGATGATATACTACGCAGCAGCCCCGGCTGTTGCACGAAACGGCTGGCAGGCTCGTCCGGGTAAGTACCACGAACTCACAGAAGACCGGCGTAAAGTGGAAGTATAATACTTTCGCGTTTCGTCTGGTGAGTGAGGTGGCCGGAGCCCAAAAGGCTGTCAACGCATCTGGAACCCTCAGGTGTAGCAGATGTCCATGGGCGGTATTCACTTAACATCAGGCGAACTGTCTGCTCGCTTGGCAACTTTTCACATAAAAAAAAAAAAAAAAAACTTTTTGGGGTACATGTTGAATGATGTGTTGTTTTCATCATTACATGAAAATCTATCGCCTAATTACAGTATGAAAAAAAATCCATCTGCACACACCGTTCCTCAGCTTGTTGACGTCGAGGCCCAGCTGGGAGAGACGGAGCAGCTCGTCCTCGTTGTTCAGGCTGTGGTCCACCGTCAACTGGACCACCCTCAGCACCGAGTTGTCGTCGGTCCTACACAGCAGAGCCCTGGTTTCGCCCACGTTGGCCACGAACAGCTTGTTGTTGTGAACCAGCGCTATGACAACAGTCGCACCGCCGGACAGGTGCTGGTCTATCTCCTTCAGACGGGAGAGGATGTTGTCGCAGTTCTGCGATATCTGTGGACATTGAATGATCCATAATTTTAGACTTTATGACAAACATCTGTTTTTGTTCGGTTAAATTTCATCTTTTTAGTTCTGGACTCTGAACTGGAGATGAAAGAAAAAAATTACAACTTAAAACTTCATAACATAATTCCGGGATAGACAGACAGTAGATACTGTAAAGTGTATAAAACGACATATTATGTTGAAATAAAAATTAAAAGTAATATGGATCCATAAAAATAATGATATTCAAAATATATAGTACTCACGCAAATATATTAAAACGCTTAAATTGAAATATTTTCACTCAATTACATTGTATTGACTTTTTGGATGCTAGAGGGTGCACCTTGTACACAACATCTCCAATATATTAAGTTCAGCATGAACATTATTCATTATACCTTCTCCCATACAAGAAAGCTGAACACTTGGCATACCTGTGTTTCATTTAATGTCTGTAGTCTATATTGTAAGCTGGTTCTTTCTGCTATCATGCCATCATAGTTTTCTATATATGCCTTCTCCACAGATACGAATGCATTTCTGTAAGTGAACAACACTCAAATTAGTCACTACTACTTCTATCTATACGGTACTGCACTATCTATCTACTGTACTATCATAATCTTAATACTAGTATGATATTCAAGGAGACAAGACCGAACCAATGACTGAAACAAAACATTACATTTCAACAATATTTAATCTTCATTTTATTAATTAATAAAAGTGAATTTTCTCAAACAATAAACGATGAAAAAAATTACAAAAGCATCTGTTTGTTGTAAATAGTTTTGCCTTAATCTCAAGATGATCTAGTCGCAATATGACTTTATGATGAATTATTATCAACAGCTTTTTAACAGCTTTACTTCATCTTTGATTTCAACAGCTTTACTTCATCTTTGGCTTTAAATCCCAGTTTGTTTTCAGTCCTATATTGTAAATGCATGCTTCCTCATATTATATCTAATAATAATAATTTAACAACAAGATACAATATCATAAGTTGGTACAGCTTCAGTAAAAAATGTAATCAGGTAATTGTGCGGAGCTGGTTTCTATTATAGGTGTAACAACCTGTATTACAGATCACCAGGTCCTCAAGCATATAAGCATAGTTAACAAAGCTGTAATAATTGTACATAAAATAAATTGTCTTAAGTAACTGTCCAGGTATAAGGAGATTGGATAAAAAGAGATCTACGTGTGCGTGCGTGCGTGCGTGTGTGTGCGTGCGTGCGTGCGTGTGTGTGTGTGTGTGTGTGTGTGTGCGCACGTGAGTGTGTGTGTGTGTGTGTGTGTTTGTTTATGAGTGTTGTTTACGTCGATATCTGTGCTGTGTAAGTATATTCTACCTCAATCTGTCTCTTATCTCTTCATCTGTATTGCTGATAGAAGGGGGTGGCAATAACATCTCCACTGCCATCCTCTGCATAATGAATCTTGCTGCATCCAAACCATTGTGCGGTTCAAACACTCCATACAAACAACTGAAAAAATTACAACATTTTTAATTGATAGTTAAAAATATTTATTCATGGCAACCACAACAATTGTATAAGTATTAAAATAAACATGCATAAAATAGGCATAAGGCATTAATTTATAAAAGACTAGCAATTCTTGACATGTGTTGGCAATGCTGTGTAAAGAAAACAGTATTTAAATAATATTTTTTTTATTTTTTGCATAGAAATGCTTTTACATAAAAACATTATTTTATATCTATTACTGGTAGTAAGTTACTTTTATATAAATAATAAATAAATAAAAAAATTCTTCTGTACAGAGAAGAGGCCTTTTCCAAGCAGTAAGACAATTATGTTACTGTTTTATGGATTTGAAGAGCTGAACTTGTTCAGAAAAATTTACAAGTAAAAAAAATTCTTTATGGCTATTTACAAATTTATGAAGTAGTTACTTTAGTACAAACAGTAGCTAGACTTGTTAAAATATACTTCACTTTTTATAAATTCAGTGATATTTTTGGAGGTAGGAAAAAATATTTTGCAGATATACAGCCAAATTAAGATGTTCCAAATGTAAGGTGTTTCATTAAATGCCATAACGAAAGAAGAAGAAGAAGGTGTTTCATTCGGAATGTCTTAATTTAGTTGTACTTCAAGCATTGGTCTTGTTTCAAAGATACTGACATTGACACACATTAAAGTTTACAACATCATTTCAGGAAAATTGAAAACTTAGATTTTTAATGTAATTTTTTTAATGTAATAAATGACTTCATTATGATATAATGCGCTTAGATAATTTTTCATATGTTTTACAAAGGTTTTGACTTTACATCTTATTAAATCATTATGATATTGTATTTTCATAATCATTGACAAATTTCATTTATTATAATTAAGTATATAATATATAAATATCAATATAATTATATATATCTATGTTATTGTAATGACACAACTTGTATTTAAACAAATTAGATTTTTTTAAATTACAACATCCTAGCTTAATGTACAGATATAAGTGACTAGGAGATTATTTTATGTACTATGTTAAATACTGTTATTAAAATTTGTTATTTGATGATAACATATTGTAATTTCAATTTGCATTCTGTTTTATACGGCTAAATAGGCAATAAAGAGATATACATTAATGTGTGTCAATGTTTCAAAAACATTTGAAAAAGAATTTTGGCCCTTCATCTTAAGAGATTTTGCCACAATTGCTAAGCCTGGTAAGCAGGTTGGCAAGTTGATGACCTGTGCAATTGTGCGGGAAGTCGATGGAAGAAGGTAGTTCAGGATCAAGCTGAAACAGGCTGTAATGTTTATGATAAACATTATGATTACATGATGGTTTGCTAACATGGGATCCAGTTAGATCAGACTATAATAACAAACTGGACGGAATGTAAACTAAAAATATTTCAATAAATAATTTCCACAACTTACGATCCATCTTCTGTTTGGCAATAAAAGCAGAGGTAATCATCCGTGGTATTAACACTTCCACCGATTTGGGAGAAATACGAGGCGACACAGGTATTTTTGCATTTCGGTAAATCGTCCGTCCACGGTCTTGCTATCATTGTATGAAATTACTATAGTTCTATACAAAGTAGATATTCCCGATCTAAGTACTCAATAAGAATGAAACCTCAATGGAGAATTGGAGATAAATTAAAAAATACTTTTTTCCGACTACCTAAGAAAATATTTTGTCATTTGAATTTTGTTCTATTAGAACTTGACACTTGTCACAAGTCAAACTGCATTCTGTAATTTTACTGTGTTTATAATAATAGATAACTAATAAAATAACCTATTATTTCTAAAAAATTATACATCCCATTATTTTTAAAATCATCCTAGAAGTTATTTCTAATAAGAGCTATTAATTTTATTACATACAACTGCGCAACAGCCTACCACGACCCACTAGAGCAAGACGCGAGACACTTTGTTTTTATGGCGATAACCATTTTCTTACTAACGAAAAACAAAACCGACTTCAAACATCTCGGTTTATATTCATTTTATAATTGATTTTCGGGAGTTCCTTAAGTATTTCCGGAACCCAAGATCCAATACGAATGAAATTAATATGGGACCACATGGGAAATACCAGCTTTCAAATAAAAAAAAATCATCAAAATCGGTTCACTCAGGCAAAAGTTCTGAGGTAACAAAAAAAATAGTCGAATTGAGAACCGCCTTCTTTTGAAGTCGGTTAAAAAGGGGCAAACGAGCAGGAGGCTCACCTGATGGTAAGTGATCACCACCGCCCATTACCTTCAACATCAGAGGGCTTATAAATGCGTTGCCGGCGTTTTAGGAAAGAATATGCTCTCTTCTTGAAGGTTCCCAGGTCATAACGATTCGGACAGACCGCTGGCGGAATCTGGTTCATTATGCGGAATCAAATATGGTGGTTGTTGCGTGTCAAAAATGCCTTGAAAAACGCGCTGTTGTGGAACGCTGGACATTAAAGTGATGTGGATGAAATTTTTGGTTTTGCCGCGATGTCCGATGGTGGAATTCAGCCGCTGGGCTCAATTCAAACGTTTACTCGGAACACAACCGTGATAAATGCGGTAGAAGATGCAGAGTGATCCAACATCTCTACGCAGAGCCAATCGGAAAGACTTTGGCTTTATAAACCAAGAATATTAATTCTTTACTATAAAACATACTTTATTTAAAAAATGCACCATTCTAATCGCTCACACAACAGTGAAGTATCGTTATTTTTAAGTCCGTAGCCGTAACAAAGGTTTAACAGCGCGTATTATGCTTTGCGGCGATAATTATTAAACTAAGAGAACGTCAAAAATAATACGCGTTTTTTAGGTAGCCTAAGCCTATCGTTATTACGCGTTATTAATATATAGTCGTTACGAACACTAGTAATTTTACATAAAATTAAGTAGCAAAATAATATCAATAATTTAGATGGCAAAATTGAGGTAGATGGATTTAATTTCAATGAAATAGCTCTAAAAACAGAAGAAAATATTGCATTAGTCCAGATTTGTTTTAAATTCCACATTCCGATTTAGCTTTAAAATTTTGTCGTCATTGATTATAATATAATTATCATAATTTACCAATGTATCTACTGGTTATATAAACGGCAATGGGCCGTTAGATCAGTAAGAAAGGAGAATATTCAGTGAAAATTTTCGAAAAAGCCTACTAGAAATGTTTTAATTTCCTGCTAGGAGCATGTATTAAGCTTGTCATATAGATTTTATTTTTTAAACCAACTTGAAAATCAATTTTCAGTCCAGAGTTCTTTTATATGTCTGAATTGGCATTGCACAGGATCTTTGCATATTAACATAATAGTCATACTTCTGAGTAATCACGTAATTTTAAAGTAAACATGTACTTTTGCATTTAACATTGGACTTATTGACTTTATGCCTCAAGAATTAAATAATTGAAGGTTGTTCAGTTTCAAAGGAAGAAAAACAGTTAATCTTATGTTATTTTCAATCTAAACGATTACATTTTAAAATGTGTTTGAAATTTCAGTTTACATATTGACATGTAAAGGTTTAGAAATTTTTGGTTTATAATTGATCATTAATTAACTACAACTGACATGTAAAAATGCCTTATCAGTAACACAAGTTTTTGCAATTGACGGTGATTTGCTATATTTTTGTTAGATGATGATAACAATACCACAAGTTTCCTCTATTGGAATCGGATATCAATCTGCGTTTTTATAATATATTCATCTTGGTTGACTTTATTACACATTTTCCTTCTATAGTGAAGCTAATTAAACCGAATAGGTTTTTTGTTATATCCATAGATATGAAATAAAAAAACAATATCACAGATTAAAGTTTATGTCCACACATAAAACTCTAACCTTATACATTTTTCAATTTTTATGTTTTATTATACAATGTTAGCCCTTATAACTCTATAGAGCTTTCCATGACTAATATTTCATTTGTTTCAACCTAATATTCAACTTGAAAAAATGAGAAAGCAATCCTTTCGACATGAATCAACAACTTTAGAAAATCCATTATTAAAAATATTACATGGTGTATCAAACACCTATTTACTATAAATATAATATTCATATACTGTTACTAGTGTGCTTTTAAAAATAATGCATATAATTATGTAATCATTAAATGTTTCTACACCACCAATGTTTGAACAATGTTTGATAAAACACCATAACTGGGCTCTGGAGAAATGACACAGTAATCTAGTCGTATTATGCAAAGTTAAAAAAGTAAATTGTTAGTGCAAGACATGGGAAGCATACAACACCTTTTAAAGGGGGCAGTTCAAGGTATTTCCAAAGCGAGTGATAAATGAAAACAAAAAAATTAGGTGCACACTTTTTCCAACACCATTGTCTATAAATGCGAAAACATGTTCTATTCGATAACGTTACAAAATATAAACTATTTGCGACATATACTCGACTTTGGAAACCCTAAATGTCACTTCGTCGGGTGAGCAAAATTAAAAACTATAATGTTCTGAACAGTGGGGCTATTTAATCGTTTTTCTTGTCGACTTTGGTTTCTGTTTCGGGTTTCTTTTCCTTTTCCGGTTCCTTCTCAGTTTCCTTAGCTTCCTCCTTCTCCTCGGTTATTACTTCTTTCGCTTCCTGTTTTGAAGCCTCGTCGAAGTTGCCAACAAGGTTAGGCACTTCGTCGTCCTCGTCGATTGGTTTGGGTGCCGCCACACTTGACGCAATCCTCTTCAGCTGACTCAATCCTTCCGGCCCAAGTTGGCTGAGGATGCCGGGCAGCATTTCTGCAATTTGCTTGTTCTCACCGTGGCCCGTGATAGCGAAAGTATTAGCCGCCAAAGAGGCCTGCGCTTTCGGATTGTTGAAATGTATCACTGTGCCATCGTCTTTTATCATATTCACCTCCTCGATGCCGGGAATAGTGTTTACTGACAGTTTCTTTAGTGAAGACTGCAGTTTCTTGTCATCTGTGGCCGCGGTCGCGTGCACAACCTTCTTCTTGCGCCTCGGTGTACCCTTGCCGCCGATACGCACTTGCGACTGCAGTTTCTTCAGCTTTTCCGTGTTCATTTTGCAGTTTTAACACGCGACACCTGCAGAGAGAAGCGCGGCACACTGTTTAGTTATGTTTTTATATTATCTTCAGTCGCGAACGCGGCGGCTTTCCATGTAACTTGATCGTACGCACGTGTTTTGAACACCGGTTAGTTACAAAGGGAAAATGGTGGATTTGCGACAAGTTATTTCTGATTTCCGACTACGTTCCGTTGCTGCCAATGAAAGATGAATTTTTTATTTAATAAATAACAAAACCTGGTGAACTAAATTTTTATTTATACAAAATAGCAAAATTATACTTTAGATTATTATAAATTAACACATTTTTAATGAAATAAATTATAAATTACGTATAATTAAATCTTTGAGATATAGATAAAACAGAACTTGCCAAATGTACTTTACACAGTGCTGCCAACAATGTAGGGCCTGGTGTTGCTATTTTTCCAGCATAAGTAACGGAATTGAGCCTAATTTCAGTTTCTGTGGCCTCAACTAATTTACGAGCTAACCCCAACACATATATATATATATATGAATAATGAATATATACATATATATATATATATATATATATATATATATATATATATATATGTATAGTAATTTAAATTGACTTATAAAATCAATTATTTGTTAAAAAAAATAGCTTTTAAGTAGCCTAAATGGCGACAAATAGACTACGTTGGCCACACTGAATGCACAATGCGTGCAACCATAGCTACCTATTAGTCGTCATGGTTCGGATAGTTTCCGCTAGAGGGCGTGCAAAAAAAAACTACCAGATAGATATAGGTATAGACTTCCCATCTTTCTGCACATACCAAAACAGTTATTTGTTTTGGTATTTGCAAAAAGATGGCAGAGTTACTCGAAACCATTATCGGTTACAAGTAATATTCGTTTATAAGTAAAATGTGTAATATGTGATACATTGTTGAAATATTGTGAATGTCCACACAAATATGGTGCGATAGTGGGAACGGCGATACCCACTGTATTGAGTTAAGACTAGATTAATCAATTGTTAAGAAAGCTAAATAATATCCGAAAAAGAAATTAGAGAATGTTGGCAAATATTTCCTTGTGTTGACTCTAAAATTCTTTAAAACTGTGAAAAAGCTAGTTTTAGGAAAACTTATTTTAAATTGTCCCCGAAAAAAAACAAGTTATTTATTTCTTATATAACAGATTTTCATTTATTAATGTAGATGAAGAAATGAAATAAACGAAATAATGTATTTGTAACTTTTTATGTTCCTGATAGGTAATAAGTAATTACAGTTGAAAAAATGGATTAATACACGGTTCGATAAATGAGTACAGTTGTAACTATAAATTATTTTATTTATTCAATCACTTTAATTTATATTAGAATATTGTAGAAGAATATGAAAGAAATGTTTATTTTAGTACAGGAAAAAAAGGAACAAGAATAACACTAAGTTCATAAAAATGTAGTTATGCACCAAAAAGTAAAAAGTATACAGTTTAAGAGCCGTGATAGCTGTGTCCGGGCGCTCGCCTTAATTCAATATACTCGAGCAACCTGAGTTCGATCCCCGGTGCCGGCACCAATGAAGTTTTTAACTTTAATTGCTGACTTATCACGTGCTCCGCGGCGAAGGAAAACATCGAGAGGAAACCTGCATGTTTTCGAAATAATAACAAAAAAAAATATTTTTCGAAGATATGTGAAGTCCGCCAATCCGCAGTGGGGCCGCGTGGTGGACTATGCCCTGATACCCTCTGTACAGAGGAGGCCTTTGCCCAGCAGTGGGACATGTATAGGCTGTTACTTTTATACAGTTTAATACAGGTAAACAAATTATAACGAATAAAATTATTAACAAAAATTTCGTATCGTAATCGAGCAACCTGAGTTCGATCCCCGTGATGAAAACTTGTGCATTATCACATGCTCCGCGGTGAAGGAAAACATCGTGATGAAACTTGCATATTTCTGAAATAATAACAAAAAAATATTTCGAAAATATGTGAAGTCCGCCAATCCTCAGTGAGGTCGCGTGGTGGACTATGCCCTGATACCTCTCTGTATAGAGGAGGTCTTTGCCCAGCAGTGGGACATGTATATAGGCTGTTAATTTACTTTACTTTACTTCCTAACTGGCAAAACAACGTTGCTAGTTAGTAACATAATAAAATTTTTCTTGTGCTCAAGGAAATTATAATAATAATCAATATGTGTTGAATACAAAAAACTTATGGATTTTTTCGGGTTCATTGTTCGTAGAACACGTCCATAGACTCTATAGTGTATGAAACGTCGCGAACAAAACGAAAATTAGACGCCAAAATATCCAAATATCATGTTATTTTTATTTAATAATCTTATAAAGTTATTTAATATATAAACTTGTTGATAAATGAGCATATATAGTATACAATTTAAATCGCCAAATTATATTTTTTCACCAAACGTTATAATTGATGACAAGATATATTATTATGCTCATAGTATATAACATATCTTGCGTATGCAGTAATAAGTTTATACGATGTGAACGTATTTGTAAAAAAACCATAAATTGTTAATTAATTGTAGAAAAAAATATTAAGTAGAAAAAATTGGTTACAATGCTGAATCCTAAAGTCTGCTAAATATAATAATATTAAGAAAGGAAAGTCAAGTACCAGGCTATATTCCCACTGCTGGGCAAACGCCTCCTCTGTTCAGAGGGTAATATGGCATAGTCCATCTGATTGGTGGGCTTCACACATCCTAGAAATATTTTTTTTGTCATTATTTAGAAAAAAATTGGGTTACCCTGACATTTCTTTTCTTCACCGCTGAGCATGTGATATGTAGGTAAGCACTTTAAATTTACAATTTCATTAGTGCCTGCACCGGAGATCAAACTCTCGTTGCTCGAGTATATGGAATTACTTAAAAAATATGTAACAAAAACATAAAAAATTAAAAAAACTAACTAAGAGGACCGAAACTAAGGACATGTAATATGCAGCGTGTTTCGGAGAAGGTTTTAGTTTATGATGAGTTAGTGATTACCTATATTTTTTATTTTTTTTAAGCGAAACGGGCGGGGGACAGCTTGTGTTTCTATAAAATTTATATCAAACTACCTAAAATAATTCGTATTGTTTTAAGATCGGCAAGACACGGGATAATTGGTGTGGTAGGGCCACGTACCAGATTCTTCTGATTTAGTTTGATTTTAGTTTTTAATTGGTTGATAGAAAGAATGAAGAAGAAAGAAAGAAATTAACGTTTATTCACGGTCTATTCGGTGATGATGACGAAGGGAGAAACTACTTGCTTTGACCATGTTGCTTGCGTCAATTCATTACCTGAATGGAAAAGGAGTATATCTCGATGATGTGAATTTGTTTTTTTATGTAGAGCTCCATACGTTGTGGGCTTGTGGTCATCATATTTCAAGACCACGATTACCGGAGATATTGAGTATCTGTCAATACATTTTTTCTATTACCGCCCAGAATGCCAACGTAGAGAGTTTTTCGATCATGGGAGTTCAATGGTCTAAGGAAAGCATCCTTTTTACTTCAGTTTGCTAAGTAACGTTTGCTTTTAAAAAGTACAGTTTAAAGAGTTAACGTGCGAAGCATTTTATAATACAATAATAAATGACAAAAGCCTTAATAAGGTATTGACGCAAAGCAAATGTGGTAAAACTAATTAAATTCATAAATTAATGAAATAATTAATTATAATTATTTAATATTGATGATGTAATATTTGAAAACTTTATGTTAATTACGTTGACTTGTAATAGTATCCAAAGAATATTATATTCTTGTTTGAGTTTTCTTCTGTGGCTTACTGAGATGCGAAAAATCTTAAGATATCCAAAATCTGGACGCAATCTTGTCAGGAGTCCTGAGATATTGCATAGATAATAAATGCTAAATATTTCATAGATGAGATATAGCATTTCGTATTATGAAGGAGATAATCAATATTTTAAACCTATTTTCGTTTGCCAACTTTTTTACTTAAAAAGTAAAGCATGTAAAGATGGTCTTCTAAAGATGCTTAGACTTAAACTGATCGTATTTCTTTCGTTTGAAATTAATCTATGAAAATATAGTTCTATCGAGTCATTTCATGTTTATTACAACTGATACAGGAGTTATTTATTCCATATTATGACTGTCGTAAAAAAGGGGGAGAAGAAAAATAAAGATAAACTGTTCAATTATACAATAAAATGACATCCATAACATGGTTGAGTAAGGCGAATTTATCTGTAAGTATAATTTAAAAAAATAGATGTGTGTTTGTTAGTATTCTCACATTTCACGCATGTCATATTCCGCCGCATTAACTGTAATATATGGACTACTTTTCTGTACAATTTATTCTGTGTGCGAATTCTTTATGCATTTTCTAACCATTAAACCAGTAACAGTTTTTTTTTCAATTTTAAGTTACATCTATGATTTTTTTTTAATAGGAAAATGCCGTGTATTAAGGATATACGTAGGCACTAATAATAACATAATTACCTATGTGTAAAAGACCAAAAAACGTGCATAAGATAATAAAATCTGATTTAAATGAAAATTGGAGTCTTAACATTAAGAGATAGATTAATTTTCTTAAAAAAATTAATAAAAGAACAAAATCTGCATAAATACGTACTTAGATAATGTATGCAACACTAAAATTGCCTATCATACAACCGCTCATAAATCATTTCTCTTTCGCCGTATGGTTCATTTATTGTTTCAACCTTGCGCTTCGAAAATTCGAATACTCTCAATCTGATAATTAATTTCAATGTTTTACAACCGATCCTCAAGTTCTGAGAAAGCTCTCAGTTACTAAAATAAATGTTCATCATCTCGTAACCCGGAGTTATCGGGGGCGATAAATATTTATCCGCTTTTACTAAATGGACTCCAAAATGGCCGGGTGTAAAGCTGTCGTCGCCCGATCTCCTCGCGCCGTGGCCGTGCTAACAATTTGACAGCTATTAATAACTTGTGAACGAGTCGGACGTATCTTG